TGCAATAATAATGTATGGTTGTCACAAAATCCCACGGCACACCCGGACTTGCCTCACGGCACACCAGTGTGCCGCGGCACACCGTTTTGGAACCACTGTGTTAAAGCATAAAATAAAGTGTATTATTATTATTATTAGCCGTCCTACATATACTCAAATGCTGAAATGGACTCCAGGCCAGAAGCCAAAGCACTCTGTAATCCTCCACTAACCCTTTCAATGGATGAGAAAATCTACAAAAACTTGGGGTGAAACTGTGAGTCACATTATAAGGAACTGATCAGCCATTCTTTAACATCAATGGAGTTTCATAAGAGTGATTAATACGTTTCTGCTCAGCTCTCTCTGATAAGAGCTGTTTGCTAGCTGACTTTGACTGACTTTGACTTTAGAGCGGACTGTTTCCTGGGAGCTGAACACTTCAGATTGTTATGGGATGATGGATCATACATCTAAAAAAATGGGAGGAAACTGGAATCACTGCAGACTGCTGATGCTGCTGTTTCTGACAGGTAGTACAGGGATCTTCATTCTGAAAGAAATCTATTGTTATTTATGAAAAATATAGTCCTTTGGCACAGTGTCAGAGTGCTGCATTCAGGTTTAATTTGCTGTTGGGAAACGTTTTTTTTTAGTGGGGAGACTCTTCAGTTAGTTCCACCTTCATCAGCTACAACAAAAATACTTCTTACAATTCAAAAATATTAAACATACTACATCATCTTTTTACTCATACTATTTCGGTTTTGCTTTTCACACTGTTTGTATATCTAATAATGTAGTTTGCCAAACAGTGGCCATTGTAGCCTGGAGACAAAGAGATAATTATGGAATAATGTAAAAGTACATTGAAAGTTAAAAAGTTAGCAAACCAACTGAATACTGTCAGTAACACAGCCTGTCAGACAGTGGCGGCCGGCCCATAGGGGCGCTAGGGGCGCCGCCCCACCTCTTCCCACATACAAACAAATATATTAAAAAAAATATTAAATTAAAAAATATATATTTAAAAAATATATATATTTTATATTTTTATTTTTAATGAACAAGGTAAATATCATACAATTGGTATCAGTAAAATGTATAATCTACAATAAAATCTCGTTTAAAATTGTGTTACGATGTCTAAAGTTACTGATAAGTCACATGTTTCCTGCCTGGCCTTGCCCGTGGCATTAGTTTATCATTACCGGGCGGAGCCCCCGAGCCAAACAGCAGCAACCAGCACGTTGCAAAAGTCTCAATAGTAAACTGTGCCGCCGAAACATAATTTCAGCCAATCAGCGCCGTCAAATATTTTGGTCATGAGGGCGCTCACGTTGGCGCCCACGTTGCTTACGTGCGTTGACCTGAGTTGTTTTTTAGACTCGTGAGTGACCAAGGTGACGCAGAGGTTGGATGAGAATGGTGTGCAGGTGGAGTCGCCGGACCTCGGTCCGCACCCAATTCCGTGCAAGAGCTACTCTCCAATCCTTTCCAAAGGAGAAGTTTGGGAGATAAATTGATACTTAAAGACCTTGGACCGGACCAACCCGATTTGTATATATCACAGCAACCTCGTGAAAAAGACAAAACGTATCAACGAGGCTAGCTGGATGCAAACAGGTAAATGCTATCTTTTGTTTCCCATGCTTGCTCTTCAAACAGCCGGGGAGGGACAGATACGATCTGTTCAGAAACTAGACAAAAGTTAAACAAGTACAAACCACAGACTATCTGTGTCATGGAGAATACAGTCGCTGGTTTATTTATGTCTGTATAGGCCGTTGTTGTGAGTGTGGACGGTCGGAGCATATATAACGTTAGCTTAGCCAAGCTCCATTCAGAAAACAAGCATTCTAAAAGGTTTTTCGCCTGCCGTCTGTCTGCAGACTTGTCAAAGCATTAATTCATGGTTTTTACTAACCGGTATCAGTATGTTGTTACGTCGGCATCATTTAGAAACGTGTATTACAATTTAATCACGGTAAAATATGTTCATTTTGTTGTAGTTGTAGCTCCCGAGCCAGCGCGTCTTGTTTGAATGATGCGAGTAAACACAGCTGGCAGCCGCGGTGAAACTCGAGCGACTAGAGCGATGCGATAGGAGCGTTTAGAGCGAAGCGAATATTCGCATCGCGTCCGGTCTGAACGCAGCATTAAAGCGAGCTCCGCGCTGCACTGGAAACGCGCCATTACATCACCAGAAGTCCTCATTTAAGGGGTCATTTCTCCCCAAAAAAAATGGTTTACTCACTATATCAACAGCCCCACCAAAAATATGTTCCACCAGCCGCCACTGCTGTCAGATGTGTTAACATTAGCCACAGTAAGCTAGTGGTCATGTCAGACCATGTGAGGCAGCAGCAGAGGGTAAACTGAGCCTAGTGTGTTATCATCACTTATGGATTTACCATATTTAATTGCAAATGATCCTCTTTAAATAGTTATTCAGCCAATAGTTGAGAGATTTCTGAGCGTTTCAGCAATCAGCCATATGACATCCTTTTCTGCTGAAAACCAAGATTAATCTGTTGACTTGCAAGGTAGCTGATTTGATCCGCAGCACTTTTATGTATTGTGTCCGCGTTTGCTTAAAATCAATCATCAAACATTCCTCTTGACTAGGGTTGGGAACCGAAACTCGGTTCCAGATGAGAACCGATAAGAAAATGCCGGGTACCGGGTACCCATACAAAATACACAATTTCGGTTCTGCTTAACGGTTCCTAAACGCGGTAGACCCTGTATTCCAGCGGGTCCGTCTGCACCGCGGTGCTGCGGTGACCCGGTGGAATACAGGGCGGACCTGGAGAATCACAGAACGGCCGGTCGTCAGCGGGCCGTTGACGGCCGGCACCGCCCTTCATTTTTTTAAACGGCATCATATAAATTGCGCTGACAGGCGACAGAGGTCCACAATTGCCCCGCAGCGATGCTCCCCCGCCCTCCCGTAGACATTTCACGAGCTCAGTCACTTCATAACACCAAAGATAGGTCGCGGTAAACACTCTGAAGTGAGGCTCCACTACACTAAAAAATAAAAATAAAAGGCAAAGTGTAATGCCTGTTAATAGCTTGCCACAGGCATAGCTCAGTTAAAATAAAGCACAGCTATTGTGCAATACATTTGTATTGCATGTATATTTTTTAGTAACAATTTCAGTTAAAGCTTTTAAGAATAAATATATTTTTGTTATCTAAACGTTTGACCTCTTTATTTTACAATTTTGGAATCGAAACGGGGAATCGATAAGAACCGGAATCGATAAGCAGAACCGGAATCGAAATCGGAATCGATAAATTTCAAACGATACCCATCCCTACTCTTGACCTAAAAAATTAAAAGAGTCCAACTCACACACACACCACTTTCAACAATGAGGAATAAAGTGATACAATGGAGCTCCAACTTGTGCTCTTAAGTTGGGATGGATGTTAAAATAGTATTTTCAAGGCCAAGAATAAACTTTGGTTCATAAAACTAATGTTTAGCTGACAATGGAATATGTTGTATTGACCGTAGTTCTTCAGCCGGGACTGTCCGCAGACGGGGAGGAGCCTGAACTAGATGATGACGATAATAGTAAGTGATTTTTAACATGTTGTTAACATTTTTATGTCCAGATACTTAACATTTCATTTCCTCTTCATTTTAGTAGGATATCTGTAAAAAAGTGAAACACCGTCCCTTCACACTTCACGGCCTTTACACTTAAAGTCTGACAACAACCATCATGACCAACACACTCTCACTCCCTAAGCGTCCAGGAGCGACGTTTGGTCAGTGTCCGTGGCGTCCAGTGGTGACGCTCCTAGGCTCCTTCAGCGTCATAAAGGGACGCAAATAGCTTTCAACTGATTGCAATGTATTCCCATCTGCGGCGGGATTTGACGGTCATGGAAGCACGGCATTCGTTTGTGCGGCTGCCCTTAAAGGCAATGTGAGCGTCCATTCCCATTGGATAACGGAGAATTGTACACCCAAATATGTTACGTCCCCAGCTCGCTTAGGGTAAAAGGGAAGCAACACGAAACCAGGTGTTCTTGGTAAGAGGTTGATTTTAATAATAAATTCAAAATAAAGATGATATAACCAAAAATACAGGCTCTTAAAACCAGCTATCTGTTCACAATAACGCTACACAAAACAAAGGCCACAGATTATCACAGTCATAGCACACTATGGGCACTTAAGGCAAAAGGACTAACAAACTCATAAGGACTCATAAGGACTCATAAGGACTCTGAAGGACTAACGGACTCTGAAGGACTAACAAACTCATAAGGACTCTGAAGGACTAACGGACTCTGAAGGACTATAACGGACTCATAAGGACTCATAAGGACTCTTAAGGACTAACGGACTCTGAAGGACTCTTAAGGACTAACAAACTCATAAGGACTCTGAAGGACTAACGGACTCTGAAGGACTAAAAAACTCATAAGGACTCATAAGGACTCTTAATGTGCCTGACTGCGGCTGCTCTTTGCGTTTCAGCGACAAACAGTTGGCGATGACATGCCCAGGTTCGCAACAGTAAAACACTCTACACCACAATACGATCCGGCAAACATTTCTTAAATTCTTCTAACAGAAGCAATTCTCGCAGAGAAGCAAAATCATTCGATTTACATATTGTGACCCATTTATCGGACATGCTTCCCTTTTCCCTGCCGAACTCCACATATGTTTGTCAGTCTCACGGAATACCGGAACCAACAAAATATTTCTGCTAATATCAAAGCCAACAGAATTCAAGTTAGTGGAACTGGGTGTCATACCTGCGGGTGGGGCTGGTGCGTGTGTCTGCGCATCCAGCTCCAGCTTCCTTATTTCCAGCTGAAACTGTAGCTGTGCCTGCCCGGCCCGCTCCTTAGCCTCTATCTCAAGACGTGCTATGCGGACTTTAATCCTCCCCACATCTTGAGAGCCATCACTTGCTGTGATGGCACGTGCATCGAATCGAGGAAGTGTACCCGGCGCCTCCCGCTGTGTACCTTCCTCATCCTGCCCTCCCGACGCGCCAGCAGCCAGGGATTCCCCATCAAGCTCCTGTGTGAACTCTATATGGGCCATGGTACCGTCAGACACAGCCAGCTTTGATTCGCCGGACAACTTAAGGACACCCCGTTCCACCAACTGATCTATGACCTGAGCCTTAAGCTCATCTTTTATCACATTTTTCTTTACCGTGAGACTAAAATGATCTGCGATCTGAAATAAATGGTCTTTTCGACACTTGTCTATTCCTTCAAGCGAAGGACATAATTCAACTGACTCACAGCCAAATAACGCCATTTAACCTAAGCTTACAAATGTACCATCTGATTAGAATTTATCAAATTACCAACCTGATTAAAAATGACGAGCCCCCAAATTCTGTTTCGCAACATGTTCTCTATCTATGGCACGTCTCTACTGGGAGTTGTAGTTTTAAAAGACGTTTTCGTATTTCCCATAATAAGAAGTTGCCAGTATTAAACTGTGTACATCCCTGGAGGTTTAGGGGATAGGAAACACTCAAATTTAAAACATATAATTAATAAATGGGTGAAAATTGCTTGTGCCCATAATGGGCAGCATTAATATATATACACACATGCCAGCTAAGGTCAGAAGAGCTTTATTTAACAGCTGGTCTTGTGTTTGTGACCCCTGTTGTTAATTGATAACATTACATTACATTAATTGATAAGCCTGAAACATGCACTTGTCAAGGTTCAGAGGCACATTTTGCAAATATGGCAGTAGCCATCGATCAGCTTAAGATAAGATATACTTTATTGATCCCAAGTTGGAACATTTGCGTTACATCAGCATGTGTAACAGTCGTAAATATGCAGTGGTGTTTATTTGTAAATCATTTAGTATAATCACACAAATTCTGTGTTTTATATTTAAAAATTCTGTGTTCTTTATTTATTGATTGTTCAATATCTGACAAGGCCGGAGATGAAACATTATGTATAATATCAGTTAAAATAAGTGCTTCAACATAGTTAACATTGCTGGAGGTATGCACAAATATTGATAGATGTCTTGTAATGCACTATTGAGGAACCTGCGACCCAAGTTTTTCATTCAATGCAGAACTACACCATAGTTGTGTAGGCCTATATGATATAAATAATAATAATAATTCATTTATTTTATATAGGCGCCTTTCAAGGCTCTCAAGGTCGCCGTACAAACACATAAAAAAACAAGATACACAATACCTAACACCAGCATAAGAAACATAAACAAGACAATGCAACAAATCAAATAAATAAAACAGAGGATGTGTGATGGATAATGATCAGGGTGGATATGCGAGTGTGAAGAGATATGTTTTATGTCAATAAACCTTAGAAAATCTTGAAAGGGATGTGCAAAATAGTCATTATATACAGTCTTTAATTAACTATTAGTAGAGAATAACGAGTAATGAATATACTTTATAGGGATCCTATTAATATCTAATAATACAAATAATGAAATTCAATAACATGCTTTAACCACTAGGTGTCCCTTTATATCAGCTGTGCACCTTTATGGTGTAAATACAGCCTATCTACCAATTGGATCAAATATAAAAGTCAGCCGAATTAGTGTTGATACTGCAAGGAGACGTATTGTGTGAAAAGAAATGTAAGATGTTGTTTAATGGCTGATATATTTATGATCCACGTCACGTTTTCAGTTCCTCATGTTTGTCTATAGAAGTCTTCTCATCAGGGCTCTATAAATACAGAACTACGGCAGATATGTAATATTTAATGCAGCCGAACCGTGTATTACAATGCCGTTATGTGATGACTTTCAAAGAGAAAAGCAAGCACACTCGGAATAAAGTATTATATATTTTTTTAAATGTTTTCGGTCTGTTTCCGGTATTTGTTAATGACGATGTGCTGTGAGATGTGAGACTGGAATTGCACAGGGGAAAATAACGTATCTTTAGATGCGGATTTTGTTAAACTAATACGTTTGCGCTGTGGACCAACACTATACATTGACGGGGAAGGGGGTAGCAATAAAGATAACACCATTAAACAGTTACACAACATAACAGAAATAATATCGATAGCAGCGTCCTAGCAACCACCTTGGTAACAATGAAAACGTCGCGATTTCCTGAAGTAATCTTCGTAATAACTAGCAAACTAAAGATCATGTACATCCACTGCACACATAATCTGAAATAACAACTCATATTTCTCGCATCAAATGACATCAAAACACATTTTAATGGCCCAACTAACTTTAAATTAGGCATTTTCCACCGAGAATAAAACGAAGTTCGGCCATGTTTTCTTTTTCTGCAGGGAGAAATTTGAAGATCACGTGACATAGACGCCAGCCATTGGAATGAATGGTGAAAAAAAACGGGGTTTGTCAAACAGAGCACATGGTGTAGTCCAAACGATAGCTGGGGATTCTGGGTAGTGTAGTGTCTTCTGCCTTTACGGAGCGTCCACACAGCAGCGTGCGTTGACGCTTGGAGGTGGGCGTATCTGAAGCTTGGGGATTTTTTGCGAGCAACACGACCAACAACCAATCACATGAATCTCCCGCCCCCGACATACAAATCAATAGCAATGTTAAAACGAAGTAAACTGGATATAAAATCCCCAAACAGGCGAAAACCTACCAGTTTAACCCACTGTCTCTGCCTCCTCCCTCCATGCCTCGCTCCTCCGGTTTGTATCCCGGTAGATGAACAGAGACTGATCATACAGCACCGGGTGATTCACTACCGCTACAATGAATTTTCCCTCAATTTTTTTGAATATGAGGAAATGACCTGCGTAGTCTCTCCCAGCATACACGCGGTTTGATTAGCTAGCGATTGTACTGGCAGATTTGAATAAACGGGATTTCATTGGCTGACGCCTCCGTCGAGGCGTCAAAAGTTGAACATTGCTCAACTTTTGACGCCAGCAACGCTCCACATCGCTTCCCAAAATGCAGTTCGGCTAAAAGTGACGTCACCCCATTCAAAGTGAATGGGCAGAAGCGTTGGAAGCTTCAACGTACGCCGCTGGGTGGACGGGCCGTTACTCCGAAAAAATATTTGTTTCTCCGAATCGAAGGGGAAAAATACAAAAGCATTGCACACAATTTAAACCAATCAATGTTGTGTAATTAACAAGGATAATCTGGTGTTTTTTAGTCGATGAGTAGTGCAGATATCACTGTAAAATCAATTGACAGTAAGAGGAATACTTACTTCCGGGTGTACAATTCTCCGTTATCCAATGGGAATGGACGCTCACATTGCCTTTAAGGGCAGCCGACACAAACGAATGCCGTGCTTCCATGAGCGTCAAATCCCGCCGCAGATGGGAATACATTGCAATCAGTTAAAAGCTAAATTTGCGTCCCTTTATGACGCTGAAGGAGCCTAGGAGCGTCACAACTGGACGCCACGGAAACTGACCAAACGTCGCTCCTGGACGCTTAGGGAGTGAGAGTGTGTTGTCATGACAGAAACGTGCACTCTGAGTCTGACTACTTTTATCATTTCATTAGGGAGTAAAACTTTGCAGTTCTAGACATGAAGTTGTCAGCCAGGGAAAATGTTGTTTTTGGCCCTCTAATTTAGTTAAAGTGGATAAATAAATAAGATATTGTCCATTCAATCCTGAGAAGGTTTAAAGAGAACAGATTTTGTCCTGATAAAGAGGTGCGGAATCATCCCGAATAATTCCACGTCCACTTTATAATGTTGGAGGTCAATTTAAATATACAGCAAGCAACACTACAACCACATTTGGAAAAAGGCCATCATTTATTGATTTCAATCACCAATTTTTCCTTAACAGGAACACACACACAAACACACACACACACACACACTGATAACTGAGTGTTAACATTTTCAGGAGTGGAAATCAGCTGTGAGATCGTGGGTCCGAACTACGTAACGGTGGGAGTGCCAAGCAGCGTTGAGTGTCTTTCCAACTGCAAGGCATGCACCTTCTCCATGTCTGTGGACAGTCAGAGGGCCCAGGGCCAGGGCAACGTGCTGGCCTTCACTGTGAGCAGTTGGGTGGGGGTCCTAACGGTCACATGCACCGCAGCAGAAGACGGGAGAGGGGGGTCTGCCAACGCAACCAAGAAACTGCAAGTGTTAGGTAAGAGATAGTTGATTTTTTTTTCAACCCTGAAGGTTTGACTTATATCTATCACTTCTGTTCTGTTCTATTTTTTTGTCCTGGTTTATTCCACTCATGGCAATTATTATAAAACAAAACATGTACATTTAAGCAGAGAAGAAAGTTATTATACCCCTTACTCAGAAATAGATGGTCTTTCAATCACAGCTGCTATCTAATACTTATAGTAACATGAAACCAAAAGCACGATGAAAAGTCAACACAACAATCTACCGTCAGAGAAACAGGTCCAAGGACATCTTCATACTGCCTAATTAATCTGTCTTTATACATTCATCCTAAAGATGTCCATGAAGCCCTTTAAATCATTAGGTAAAGACAGTTTAACTGCTTTCATTTCAATCTGTTTAAAGTGCAAACTGAGGCTTAAAGTTACACTTCCTTCAGTGTTGCTCATCCTTTGGAGTTTAAACACATTTGTTTTGTATATTTTCTGGCAGTTTTCTGTTTCTTGCTTTATGCCCAACTAATGAAGTCTGTAATTCAACTCAATCATTAAGTCTTAACAGCCTTGACTCAATAAACAGTGTGTTCTCTGGGATGTGCATCATGCAAAATCTCACTGCTTTGTTCTGTATTGTTAATAAAGGTTTTAAGTTGTGTTGCCCCACACTTCAACACATTAATTTGATTATGTAAAAAAACAATGAACAATAGAACATTTTAAATACTTACATCTGTCTTTCTCCCCTCAGATGGACCAGCCAATGTTTCCATCACAGGCCCCAGTTGGCTGCACCCATCGGTGAGCCACACCTACAGCTGCCATGCCCGGTGTCGGCCATCTTGTACGTATGCCTGGAGGACAGATGAAGGCCCGTGGATAGGTGGGCAAGGAAATGTACTTTCTATCACTCCTCAGGAGATGGACAAGTCCAAAACTCTTGTCTGCAAAGCCACCAACAGTGTGTCTGGGCTTTTCGTCGCTGCTACCCAAAACATAACGGTGACATGTAAGTCAAGGATTCGGATTTGCTAGTTTAAGGTCCTTTACCTGGGTAAAATGCATTTCCACTAATATTAAATAATCAAAAATGAACAAGTCTACATGTAAATCAAGCTTTCTGTGATCTATCCTCGCTACCTTTCTCTCAGATGGTCCCTCAGAGATTCAGATCATCGGTCCAGACGTGATATCTATTTCAGAGAAGCAGCAGTTTGTGTGCTCTGCTGAATGCCTGCCTTCCTGCCGCTACGTGTCGTCTGTCAACAGTCAGACTGTTGCGGCTTTCACACCAGCGCTTTTCCCTTTCTAGCTCCGAGCGGGAGCTTTTCTGGTTCAGCTCCGGTTTCCCTTTTCTGCTCCCGCTCTGTTCACACCACCCAGAGCCCGACTGGTGCTGCCGCTGCTGCGTCATGACGTCACCGTTTACATCGCTGATTTGCTCCCCAACGGCATTACGGCGCTCACAACAACAACAACTGCGTCGGGTCGATGATCGTGTTGCTTTTAATCACACGAAGCCAGATACAATTAAATAACGACTTCTCCAACCTTATGCTTTTCTCCAGAGTGCCGTGGTTCATTGTTTATTCATGTGTTTCTGCAGCATTTACCGACCGCTGCAGTGCTGGCTGCTCTTCCACGGGAGTTTATTCTCCTCCGTTAGCTCCCGGTTAGCTCACATTGCAGCGGCGCTCTAAAGTATTCACTGTCCAACTCACACAAGCAGCTGATACATATCCCCAGTTCCCCTTAGCCGAAGTGAATGTGTGTCAGTCTGAATTGACGCTGTTTGGCATCACAACGCTGTTATGAAAGTTTCTCTGGTATAAAATGGGTGATGTTAGCATAGCAACCGAAGCTAAACTGACTACTTGCTATTGCTATCCTATAAACTGTAGGATAGACATGGCATAAACTGTTTTCTACAGGCACATTTTACCGGCGTATTTTTATTATGATTCTACTTGTGATAGTCGGACACGACAACCTGTGCAGCCCATGTATTGATTCCATCCGATAGCTGCTACAATACAAAACAAAACGTCTGCATCTCTCCACAATGATCAATAACAATGAACGGATGGTCAAAGTAAGGTACAAATAAACAGAATCACACGAAGCCTGATTAGTGTTGCCTGACTTTATAAAGTGTGTTTATAAGCACTACTGCTTGTAGGCAGGCATGACAGTCAACCCATGTTCAGGGGAGGTGGGTTTAGTTTCCTGCACGCCTCGACGTAAGAGAGACGTAAGCGACGCCACCTCTCAGCTCCGAAGCTCTTGCCTCTAGACCGACAATTTTTTGGAGCTGGAAGTGAACCGGATTCTGGAGCTAAGAGCCGGCGCCGCTGCGGTGTGAACAGGAAAAACCGGCGCTTTTCAGGCTCCAGCTCCGAGCCGGAGCTGAAAAAGCGCTGATGTGAAAGGTGAGGGGCAATGTGATGGAGGTGACCGTGGATCATCCCCTCAAATCTGTCACTCTCAAGTGTGAGGCACAAAACACGGCTTCAAGGAAGAAAGCTACAGTCACAAAAACTATACACATATCAGGTAGATTTAATCTGACCCAACTTTCTTCAATTCAACAAAGATAAAACTGAGGTAATTGTTTTTGGAGCCAAGGAGCTTCAGTCTGCAATGTTCAAAACAACAGATAAAGCCAGAAATCTAGGTGAATTTCAACAGTCACATTAATACAATTACTCCATGCTTGTATCTTCAGTAAACTCGACTACTGCAATGGTGTCTTCACAGGTCTCACTAAAAAATCTATTAGAAAGCTGCAGCTGATTCAGAACGCCGCTGCTCGAGTCCTCACTAACACTAAGAAAGTGGATCACATCACTCCTGTTCTGAAGTCTTTACACTGGCTTCCTGTGTGTCAAAGAATAGATTTCAAAATACTGCTGCTGGTTTATAAAGCTTTGAATGGTTTAGGCCCAAAATACATTTCTGACCTCCTGCTAAATTATGAACCATCCAGAACTCTCAGGTCTTCAGGGACTGGTCAGCTTTCTGTCCCCAGAGTCAGAACTAAACATGGAGAAGCAGCGTTCAGTTATTATGCTCCAAATATCTGGAACAAACTCCCAGAAACCTTCTGCTGATTCTTATTTAACTATTCATATCTTACAACTGTAACTTTTATTCATGTGTTTTTTACATTAGCTTATTTTATGTTTTTTTCAATTCTCTTTGCTTTTTAAAGACTGTTAAATGGTATTTCATAATGTATTTCTTAATGCTCTTAATGTCTTTCATTTTTGTAAAGAAGTTTGAATTGCCTTGTGTTGAAAGGTGCTATATAAATAATCTTGCCTTCCCTTGCACACTGAACAAACTGAAACGTTGACTTTAATTAAATGTATTGTCAACCGATTTCACCTAACTGTATTAGGTTAGTCGAAAGCAATAACTTTAAGATTAACCTATTCTTTTTTTATTAAACTTAATATTATTGCTTTCAACTAACCTAATACAGTTATGTGAAATCTGTTGACATAATAGGCTACATTTAATTGAAGTCAATGTTTCAGTTTCTTCAGTGCACCTCACATCAGACTAACCCTGTACTCCACCTGGTTCTTGTCCTTGTCTCCAGGGTCGATCCGCAGCCTGTCCTCTCGTCCTGAGGAGAGCACTGTGCTGCTGGCCTTCATCCTCTCTGCTGCGCACACTGTGACCGCACTGCACCATGGGAGCTCACTGCTATAGCAATTGACAATTATCCAAGCAACCAAGGACATTTTTGAATGTTTTACATTTTGAAATGCTTTTCATAACCCTCCTGTCGTGTTCTGGCCCAATCTGACCGATATTCTACTTTCATCAATCATAATAAATATTGTGTTTTACATTTGATCTCTTCAAGGCCTATTGATATCCTCCACATTGGTATTTGAGGATATAAAGTTGCTGATCACCACTACCATTGCATTTAGAGGTTTTACTCAACTTCATAACAAGATAGCCGCCATAGGAAATGAATGGTTAACCCTACATTATGTTCATCCATCAGGTAGTACACACACACACACACACACACGCTAATTTTAGAATACATTTTCAGTGTCTTTTCACTGCAGGTATTCATATAAACCAGTCGTCTGAGATATTGTTTACAGCTTAAAAGGGTGTTCAATAAAATGTGGTGATGATTAATGGTTTTTGTGTTCAAACAGACGGGGAACACCAAAGTAAGGGGGGAGAAATGAACAGGATGGGACTTAGCAGTTGTATTCTATTTCCTATCATTTGGTAAAATGTATGGACTTATTGTTCTCACATCATAAAGACTCGTTGTGTTTCTGTGTCTCTGTCTGACACGTCCTTCTCTCTGTGAATTCATTTGTCAGGTATACTGGAGAATGGTTGACTCACACTGCATACTGTTCTTTTTCATCGGTGTCGCATGTTGACTGTAGGTCCACCCCTGTTTGCACTTCCTGGTGAGAGGCTTGGAAAAGCACTTCAAAATCAAAGTGTGAATTGAACATGTGATGTCAGAGTGTGTTGACTTTAAACTGCTCCCCCCTATGCCTCTCTACGCTTGTATCCACACGCACACACTCAAGAATCCTACATCCAGCTTCTCTCATGCACACAGCCCAGAGCCCATGATCAGACATGTTCTCTGTGTGGATGCTTCTCCCTTGATCATCCTGTTACGCCACCCCAACTTGTCTCTTTTCACCTGTGTTGGTTGACTGAATAAACAAAGAAAAAATGAATACATAAATGTGTTGACTTATAAATATATTTACCACCTAGGTAAGGGGGTGAAAAGTTAGGACGATTCTAAGGGCCCGTGACTGACAGGGGCCCAAACAATTTAAAAACATTAAGAAAAAAAATGTTAAGTAACCAATGTGATGTCTTTTCATGGGGCCCAAAATCCCTGGCCCCTGAATGCCAGTATGTGTAGTGGTGTACATTCTGGAAGTAGCAGACACAGTATCAGTATGGAGTGTCTACTTTAAAGTAGGGCTGCTCGATTATGGCAAAAATCACAATCTCGATTATTTGGGTCAATAATTGATATCACGATTATTAAAAACGATTATCCATTTATTTTGAAAACATCCATTTATTGAAAAAATAAATGTGAACAGTCTGTTTTTAACAGTTGATTACCCTGAACTTTAAGTATAATTCAACTGAAAAACCAATACAATATAAAATAAAAATTAAATGAAATAAATAATCGTTTTATTTTGATTATGTTGTTTTCATAATCGTTGCAAGCCGAAATCGTAATTGCGATTAAAATACGATTAATTGAGCAGCCCTATATGATGTTCAGGTATATATCAGTAAATAGTGTCTCTACTTTAAAGAGTCCTCTCCTGCTGATGTTCAGGTGTATATCAGTATGTAGTGTCTCTACTTTAAAGAGTCCTTTCCTGCTGATGTCCAGGTGTATATCAGTATGTAGTGTCTCTACTTTAAAGAGTCCTCTCCTGCTGATGTTCAGGTGTATATCAGTATGTAGTGTCTCTACTTTAAAGAGTCCTCTCCTGCTGATGTTCAGGTGTATATCAGTATGTAGTGTCTCTACTTTAAAGAGTCCTCTCCTGCTGATGTTCAGGTGTATATCAGTATGTAGTGTCTCTACTTTAAAGAGTCCTCTCCTGCTGATGGTCAGGTGTATATCAGTATGTAGTGTCTCTACTTTAAAGAGTCCTCTCCTGCTGATGTTCAGGTGTATATCAGTATGTAGTGTCTCTACTTTAAAGAGTCCTCTCCTGCTGATGTTCAGGTGTATATCAGTATGTAGTGTCTCTACTTTAAAGAGTCCTCTCCTGCTGATGTTCAGGTGTATATCAGTATGTAGTGTCTCTACTTTAAAGAGTCCTCTCCTGCTGATGTTCAGGTGTATATCAGTATGTAGTGTATCTACTTTAAAGAGTCCTCTCCTGCTGATGTTCAGGTGTGTATCAGTATGTAGTGTCTCTACTTTAAAGAGTCCTCTCCTGCTGATGTTCAGGTGTATATCAGTAAATAGTGTCTCTACTTTAAAGAGTCCTCTCCTGCTGATGTTCATGTGTTTATCAGTATGTAGTGTCTCTACTTTAAAGAGTCCTCTCCTGCTGATGTTCAGGTGTATATCAGTATGTAGTGTCTCTACTTTAAAGAGTCATCTGCTGCTGATGTTCAGGTGTATATCAGTAAATAGTGTCTCTACTTTAAAGAGTCATCTGCTGCTGATGTTCATGTGTGTATCAGTATGTAGTGTCTATGGGACATTACATTACATGTCATTTGTTCACCCTCTGTCTGAAACCAGAGCCCAGTCTGCTCTGATTGGTTAGCTGGCTGGCTCCCCTTAGAGATTTCCCGCCCCTTACCTTATCACGTACAATGTGTTGGAGCGCTTATAGAAGTGATTGATTGATACATAGTGATGTCACTATGTTGCAGGAGTAAATAAAGGAGTCCAATGGGGAAGTTTCAGTCAGGGGGGGAAGTTTGGGAGAGAAACTCCCAATGGCCTGAACTTGGGGTCCGAGTGATAATGTTAATGAATGATGAATGAAGTAAAGTACCTTTTCTGAATCCACTAAACTCATTTTTAACCAGATGGAGTGAATGTAACTCATTGTGGACTGTTTTCATCTGTTATACAGAAAGAATACAATGCAGTCATACATTCTTGATGAAAAAAAACAACAGAGGTATTATGTAAATAAAGTAGCATGTAAAAGGTTACAATTCTGATAGGGAATGTATTTTTGACAGAAATGATCAGGGCTTTTTTTGTCTTTAATTCATATATCATATTAAGGCGGGTTTTTTAAGTGTACATGTTTGTCCTTGTCTTAAATGTTTGGACATACAAGCTCGTAAACTTGAAGCACAAGTGTTAAAAAGCATTTATAATGTTAACTCTCTCATGGTTAATTATTTTAAAATGTGTTATCAGTAAATTGCAATTTACATGGGAGTTCAATTCAATATTTCCCCATACTTCAGATGCAATCTGTAATCTTATGTTAGCAAACAGCAGTTACAGTAAGAGGACACACCCAGAGGTTATATCAGTCCCCAAACAAACACAGAAAAATCACACGCCTGCCATTTAAGCTTTGCTTTACATCACTGACACTGGCTTTGATGGGGATTGGAGAGAAGGCAATACAAATGTCATAGCAAATGATGATTGAAATGTTAATCAAATGAAAGCGTTTCACCTTGGAAAGCTCAAACCTCTTCTAATGTCTTAGAGACTAGTCTGGGACACATCCAGGTCAAAGTTTACTCTGTTCTTGTGGTCTTTTAATATAGAGGGCAGGGGTTAACCTTTTCAGTTAGAATAAAATCAAATACGAATTCAAAAGAGAGTGACGGTGGACCTTTATCGAGAAACACCACTTTCTATTATATATATGAACCTTCCCAGAAATGGCCAGAAATCATTAATGCTGGTTTAGATTTTTTGCATAGTTTTCATAAATGATCTGTAGTTTGTGAAAAATAAAATGCAATATGTTACAATCAAATCAACAAAAAGACAAAACCGTTAGTGGTGTTAGTAAAAAAGTAATACATTAACATAACCACACAATAAAACACCAACACATATCAGATCTGGCAGGCAGCTGGACTTGTAGATGCTGTGATAAATTGAGTTTAGAATCTTTACCAGCCAGGAATTTGATTGCCTGTGGCGCAGGCAGATATGAAAAACAGACAGAACAACATTATCTGACCTGAACCAAGTGTACAGGGACAAAGGAAACCACAGCCTACAGAAGACAAAACCACAAGATCACACACCCTGAGCGGAGAACAGAGGCAGCTGATAACCTGCACGCCTCTGCCCGTAACATTTGCTCATTTGTTGTCCGTGTTTGAAAGAGCTCGTGATAACAGTGGGCATGACCTCTTCCACCATGAACTATAAGAGTGTGTGAGGTTAAAGGTGTGTGGACAGTCGCTCAGTGTACAGCATCATGGATCCGCTCTCCGCCTGCCTGCTCCTGCTCACCTGCCTGGCAGGTAAGAGGCCCTGCTGATCTTCATCTGCTCGTCAATCTGCATTTCTGCAGTTAAATACTGATCATTTTAAAATTATTCTCAGAGTACGCACTCTGCTAGGGTGTCTGAGAAATGTTTATTCAAAGATGTCTCAATGTAACTCTTAATATAACATATGTTTTGCAGTGAAGTGCAGTGCTGCTATCTGAATTGATGCCAATGTCAATGTTCTATGGGTATTCTGTGTTGAGACGGTGCACATATTTTATAACATTACAAATATTTTACTTGTGTTTTTTCTATGGTACTAATAGACTCATTCTAATCACTCCAAAATATATACACACTTCTTTCCTGTGCGGGCCCTTTGAATGAAAACATTTGAAAACCTCTGATTGACTACATTGGAAATTATTTTGTATGAATCTGTTTTGTCGGCAGAGTTGATGAGCTGCATACAGTTTTTTTCATGTATTCTCTTTTCTCACCTCCAAGATTTTTCTGCCAGTGAAACTGAGTGGAGTGGAGCTGTGGGGGGAAGCTCGTGTAAGATCCTTTTATTTCTGATTCTTATCCATAAATGCTATCTTTAAAGGTTTTTCTGATTATCATATTGTGCCGTATCTGACAGTCGAATTCATAGGATTCAGTTTACTTCATGTCTTGCTATTGGAACTAAAGGAGGAAGTGTTGTCTGTTGCTCCTGCAGACGGGCCGTTCTCGGTGCAGATCGTGGGGGTGAATGTTGTGACAGTGGGAATCCCGTATGATTTCCAGTGCATAGCTTTTTGCTATCCGGACTGCAAGTACACCTGGACCCGGGGTAATGTGACCTCTCAGGGGCCCGAGCTGAGCTTCCAGCTGCTGCACGTGGTACCAACACAGACCCTGTCCTGCACTGTGGTCAACTCTGAAACAGGGGACTCGTCCACTGTCCAAAAAACGCTGCAGGTGGCAGGTATGAATAACCAAAGTGAATTCTAATTCATGAATTCCCTCAGTAGAACTCCCTTCTAATATATTTCCAAACGTTCCAGCGGGGCCATCAAACATCCAGATCAGTGGTCCAACCTATCTGACCTATGGAGCGGAGTCCATCTTCATCTGCTCAGCCAGCTGCTACCCCGCATGCAGCTTCTCCTGGACTGTGTTCTGGGAAGGGCAGACGCTCAGCAAGGCACAAGGCAGCAACATTTCTGTCACTCCATACGCCGACACCGTGCAGGAAGAAAATCTGATTTGTGAGGCCATGGACACCGTCTCACATCTCTACATCTCCAGCTCTCTATCACTGCCTGTCGCAAGTATGTGAAAGAACCTAGCGTGAATAAGAATTACCACAAATAAGCAACACACATTAGAAATACCACTCAACTAGTTATTTAGCTTTGGAATATGTGTTACATGATGGAAGTCAGTTAAACTGGTTGAAATCCATTTCTGTTACTGGCAGAGATGGAAAAAGTACTCAGATCTTGTACTTAAGTAAAGTATCAGAGTGTAGGAATATTCTGTTAAGTACAAGTACTGCAATCAGAATGTTCCTCAAGTAAAAGTAGAAAAGTATTATCATCCAAATATAGTAGTCGTT